GTCACCAGGAGTTCAAACAACAACACTGGTACAATCACAGTTATTTCTAGATAGATCTGAGAAGAGTGACGAGGAGGCAGTCAAGGCTGAGCAAAGCTGAATTTGTGCCCGTACCAAATACCACCTATTCCAGGAAAACAAAGCTTCCCTTTAATTTACCATTAATTAAACCTACAATTACAGTTCAAAACCCACTCTGAACACCAAACTTGTTCTGAATGGTGGGGAGCCAGCAGCTTCAGATCAACGAGTATGCCCTGGTCTCCAAAACCGGCTCCCACACACTCGTGCTGGCCGTGCCACCACCTCCCCTCTGTGGCCTATGACACTCTACAAATCTCAGAGGTTCTGAATGACATGCAGACTGTGAAAGCTATAGATTTCACCCTTGTCCCACTGAATTAATCATTGTTCTTACAACGCCAGTTTCTTCTCTAGGTATAGTTCATTGTTCCCAAAGACCACTTGTCCCTCTGAGTAGTTAAACCTTTTCCATTTGTATCCCATCTCCCCACGTGGACAGGGCAGCTTTGTCTTGGATTTAATGGGCATGTTCACAGTATGTAATCCTGAAAACAGCGACTCTGGGTTTGAGGTCAATTTTCATCATGTAGGGAAAAGAAGGGGGGGGGGGGCAAGGATTCTGTAAGATAACCTTGGCAATACCAGGGATGGGTAGGCGGCTCTTCCAAAAATCGCCATATCCCTTTTTAAGGGGGGCGAGGGGGGCCAAGAGAACTCTTCAGTGTTAGGTTTTGCTCTTCCTGGTTCAAAGGGCTCTGAGCCCAAGAACAGAAGCCAGACCCCTTGGCTGTCCATCTCCTATGCTTCACACTTGATTTCTAGTTCTTAACCAAGCCAGGGGAAGTCCTTTTATAATGCTCTCCGGAGAAGCCCCACCCATCAAGACTCCATGGGAGACACGGGCATTGAGCCCGTGACCAGGCTAGTGGGAAAAGGTTGCTTTTGAGGGTGATGAGAAAGCTCTGGGATTCCACGTGGAGACTCTGAACATCATACACGTCACAGATGACAGCCAGTGGGAGTTTATGGTATGTGGGCACTCTCTCAAGGAATGGGCTTCCCCCCAAAAGCCAACCCCCAGTTGGTGCAGCACGTCCACACACTGCACACAGTTTATTTTTCTGACGGGCAAAGGTTTCTCCACCCAAAAAGCTAGGCTTCAAATACTGGCTCCTTTTGTTCCAAGAGTTCTGAGTGCCAAACACTTCAGGTTACATCCAAACCAGGGGTCTTACACAGGAGCGCTTTGATCTTCTCTCAGGGACTTCAAATAAACACTACCAGTGCCTGGAAACAAACAGCCTGAAGCAAGTTAAAGGCCTCTCAATATCCTCTCCAACAAGGGTAACAAGGGACTGGTTTGCTCACTGCACGGGTATGGCGAAGATTAAAGGAAAAAAAAAAAAAAGCATTTAGGAAAGTTACATTCCCCACTAAAGTACTTTCATTATTCTACCAATCTCACCAGTTTGGGGAGAAAAGTCAAGAAGAAAAATATGTACCGTATATACCCGAGTATAAGCCAACCTGAGTATCAGCCAAGGCACCTAATTTTACCATAAAAACTGCATTTAAAATGTGCTGGAAAAAACCTGGCTTATACATGAGTATATCCGGTATTAACATAACTGACTTTCCCAGAGTCAGCAAGCAATCTGCACTTACCAAACTAAGGGGTCCTTTCCATTTCCAAGGAGCCTTGGTGGCATAGTGGGTTCTGACTTGGGGTGCTGTGGGACCCACCGGGCACTCCAAGAGGGAACGAGGAGGCTTTCTGCTCCCCTAAGAGGGTGGCCTTGAGCCAGAATCAACTCAGGGGCAGTTGAATTGGCTGTTCCTTCTCCAAACCCTGCGAATTGAACTACTAGCTTTTGTCATCCTCTCTCTACTTGCACACCTGTTGTGAGAAGGCTGTTTTATTCTACCTTTAGGGATTATTAGGGCATCTTTTTAAGGCAAAGTTAAATCTTCAACAGGTAAAGACATTCTCACATCCCTAGGATGTCTGGACTTCTCCTTAGTGTTTCTATGACCTTCACTCATGCACCCTCCTGGGTGATTTTAAACCTCCCAATGTATTGCCCAGTCTAAAACATCCTTTGATTGTAAAAGGGAATCTTGACATCTTCAATCATTTCTCATCTATCATGATGTTGTCTACTGGTCTGGTCTGAGAATTTCTTTTCTTTACCGCCATTTGTTACCCTTACTGAAGACTGGTCTTCGATCAGTAAGTGCTTCTTGGCTTTCAGTGAGCAAAGATTGTTTCACCTACCAATTACAGGCTGTAAATGAGCTCTCCTCCAATCCTGATGGGAGTCTGACAGAATAGTCCAGCTTCTTGGATTATCTGCTCAGCATACCAATAAATATGATGAAAGGAATACAAACCTGATGCATACCTTTCCTGATTTCAAGTCATATCCACTTCTTCGGTTTGGACAATCAACTCTTGGTCTGTGTACAATAAGGTATTCTGGAATTCTCATTCTTCTCAATGTTATCCACAGTTTGTAATGATCCACCCAGCCAAGTATCTTTTCATAGTCAATAAAACACAAGTGAGCAGCTTTCTGGTATTTCTCTGCTTTCAGCCAAGATCCATCTGACAGCAGCAATGATAATCCCTTCTTACACATCCTTTTCTGAATTAGATCGAATTTCTGGTAGTCTCTTGTCAGTTGTCGCTGCCACCATTTTCAAAAATTGTCTTCAGCAAAATTTTCCTGGTGTGATATTAAGAAAATTGTTCAACAATTTCTGCATTCTTTTGGGTCACTTTTGGAATGGGCACAAACAGGAATCTCTCTCAGTTGGTTAGCAGGTCTTCCTAATTTCTTGACTTAGATCAGTGTTTCCAGCGTTCTTTCAAACATTCCCCCCTGGTATTCCTGGAGTGTTACTTTTTGCTAATGCCTTCAATGCAGACTATACCTCTTCCCTTGGTCATATGCTGCCTCGCAAGATGATTATTAGTGACCATTTCTTTCTGGTACTGTGACTGTGTATTCTGTCCACCTTCTTTTGATGCTTCCTTTATCTTGCAGTATTTTCCCCGAGGAATCCTTCAATATCGAAACGTGAGGTTTGATTTTCCCTTTGGGTGGAGGCGGGGGAGTCCTTCCGTTCTGTTAGTTTGAGATAGGCCAAGTGTGTCCTTCCTTTTGTTTGTCAAACTCCGGGTCTTTGCATGTTTCACTGTTTTGTGCTCCTACCCTTCCTTATATCGTTATATTTCTGCTTCCAACCATGCTATTCTTGATACCCCAAAACGCAACTTCAGAACCCATGAAGAAAAGGTAATATACCCTTCAAGATCCAATTCAATGATTACACTTATTTCCTGACGTCTTCTGGGGAGTTAGAAAACCTCAGGCAGGATGAATGAGAAAGCCTATGGGGCGGCTGTGGAGGAAGCGGAGGTTATCTGCTCCCATATAGACATTTTCTGCCTTGGAAACCCTGCAGAGGGTCACTATGAATTGGAATGGCCTGGGTGGCACTGGGTGTGGTGGTGCTGTGGGATAGACTTGGGCCCCAGAGGCTGGTGGTTCAAGTCTGCCAAGTGCTTCTCAGGAGACAGACAGGGCTGTTTGCCCCCATCAAGGTTGACAATATTGGAAACCTTACATAGCAGCGGTTCTCAACCTGTGGGTCACAACCCTTTTCACAGGGGTCACCCAATTCATAACAGTGGCAAATTTACAGTTATAAAGTAGCAATGAAAACAACTGTATAGTTGGGGGGCTCACCACATGAGAAGCTATATTAAAGGGTCGGGGCATTAGGAAGGTTGAGAACCACTGCTATACAGGCTCACGAAGAGTTGTAATCTATTAGATGGCAGTAGGTTTGATTTCAGGGGTGAAAAGGCCCTGAGGACAGGTACCATTTACTCACCAGTCAATCACCACGGTACCTTAGCAGTCACACCTGTTTGTTGAGGAGCATGAATTTACACATGATGGATCAAGCCCAGGTAATTTACAGAAATGGCCCTAATAATCCCTCCCAAGTCTGTATACATACCCACCCTCGCTCACTCCCTCTTTTTCGGTAAGACCTGGCTGCTTTTCCCATGAAATATATTTTTCAACCAAATTAGCTAAAGCTCGGCTGTGTGATGTGCTTTTGGCTGACCAAGTATTACTAAGTATGAAATCAGCATAGGTTTGAAAAGCGCTTTTGTGTGGTGGTGGGGAGGGGGATGCCTCCTCTTGTTCCTGAGAACAGTCCATGATCAGGTGAAGCCTGGTAAAACTCAAGAGGAAAGGCCACGGAGAGGCTTCAGTCCAACTTGAGGGAGGTCAATGGAGCTCGGTCAGCTCCATCAGAGCTGGCCTGGACTCACGCAGTTGTGAACAGTAGTAAACATTTCTTTTGGTTGATTGATATCAGCAAGGGCTAACTTGTGACATTATTAACTTATTTTTACACTGGATTTTCAAGTCAAGCTTCTGAAAAACCAAATCACACTTCATTCCTATTGAAATTTGTTAAAACGTTATGCATTTTTTTCTCCACGAGAACTATAAGCTCCCGCTATTCCTAATGTGTTCTTGAAAATTCATTACAAGCAGCTAAGTGATCTCATCCCAACTTTTCCTCGCCCAACACCGTACCTTTGACATTAACTGGAACCAATCTCTCTACACTCCAGCTGTTATAAATGGCAGTCACTCCGGTGCACTTCCAACCCTACTGAGTTTGCTCCAGTACTGGTCTTTCTCCTCTCATTTTCTCTCTTCAGGTCTATCCATTCAATTATTTTACATTGATGTCACGCTCCTGGTGCCTTGTCTTTCGGCCACATATCTCTAAAACACCCACACACTCCTAACAGAGACAGATGGGAGATAAACCAATAAAAAAAACTGTTTAAGATGCCATCACTACAGATTAAGGTTAGACTAACTTCAGCTGGGTCTTTACACGCATATACACTGTCTGGAAATCCTTGTACAAATTCAGCTCACCCTATACACCTTGTCCATGCCGAGTACCATCAACCTGCCCCTTCTCGCCCCCACACTCCCCACTGCCTCAACAGAAAAAAGGAAGCCATTAGTTAAGTCAATGTCAAGGCTGTCACTTAAACATCTAGACCAGTGTTTCCCAAAGTGTGTGCAACTGCCCTGGGGGTGGCTGGGATAATTCCAGGGCACTGGGGGGATGAAGGGGTTGTAAAAGCTTATCTATGCTTTATGTCCTGGATTATGGGCTACAGTACATTAGTTTTTAATTGTGTGGGTGTGCAGAATGACATTCCCCTCACCCCCCAAAAAAGTTCAGGTTCAAAATAAAACTCCAGGTTTCACCTTCTGAACATCTATGCATAGCTGCAACTATTAAGACTCCCGAGGAAGGTTCGTGCAAACTCAACGCAGCCACAACTGAATCCATCTTTTCTTTTTCTTTTTGCCATCATTATTTTTTTAATTAAATACTTTTATTAGGGGCTCTTACATCTCTTATCACAATCCATAAATTCACCCAGTGTGTCAAGTACATTTGCACATATGCTGCCACCATTTTCAATGCATCCTCTTCCCACTTGAACCCCTGATATCAGCTCCCCATTTCTTCCCCCTCCCTCCCTCACAAACCCTTGATAAATTATACATTATTATTTTCAGATACCAAATCCATCCTTTCCAACACTTTTCCTCCTCTTCCTTCAGGCTTCATCCCCAGTCACCAAATTCCCTCAAAAAGCTACCCCCCCTTCACGAGAAACACGAGTCAGCAGAACTGAACCTTACATGAGGATGTCAAACTGCCCAATGTTCTGTCACAGATCTATTTGCCACAAAATCCCACCCCTTTCCTTCTGTGCCCCGCTGTCTTGGCCAGCCCCTCATGATTCTAAACAGGACCCTCAACGTCCTCCCCGGATGGATGGGTCTCTCCGTCACTGGCCTCAGAGGCCATCTCCACCCACACTGCCGCTAGTGTTGTCTCCAGATCACACACTGGATCATGACGCTCCTGTGCAATGACTCGCCACAGTTAGGGCAGGGCCAACCAATCCCTTTGTGACTCGGGTGCTATTCCCACTGGAGACTCATTTCCCGAAAGGCGCCTCCCAACGGACAAACGAAATCAAGTAGCAGACGGTTCTCATTTCCTTTAGGAATTCTTCCCTTATGCCTGCTGTGAGGACCACACATCACCTGTGGATATCACCAGGCTGTCATCTGATAAATGAGTCTTTGTCATTTATCACCACATTCTCCCTGGTGGTTTGTGTCCCTGCAGCCCCGCCCACCCCTCACAACTTTGCATTCTTTAATTCCATTTGAATTTTGTTATGACCAGGCATCTAATCTAGTGGTTGACACATACGAGATGTCCAATTTGGGGGTGGGGTGGGAATCAATAACAAACACCCCACCCCTGCTCCAGCTTCCCTATGTGATTTCTGGATCAGAATCCAGAACCCTACACATTTCTCCACCTGCCGAGAAGGTCAGGGAATGGTCACATTGGCATCTCTCACTTTCCTTTCTGATGTTTACTCGTGTTTCCCATCACACGCCGGTGAACGCCATACAAGATTAGGCTATGTGTCCCTTCCAGTGAGTTCTACTCCTCCATTCCCCTTAGCAGCACTCAGGAGTCACCAGCACAGCATGGCCACGGGACTCCGATTAACAAGTTCAAGTTCTCCTTTGTTGAAGGATGTTTACCGCACACGCAATCATGGAGTCAAACCAAGATGGCCGAAAGGAACCAAATTACTCATACGGGGTGATGTATCTTAGGACTATCCTAAAAATCTTGTTCTGTATTTCAACATACTACTCTTCCAAAGGAAGGTAGCAAGGTTGCATAGTGGGCTGTGCAGTGGGCTGCTAATCATAAAGGTCAGCAGTTCCAAACCACCAGCCCTCCTTGGAGAAAGATGAAGCTTTCAACTCCCATCAAGAGTGACACTTTCAGAAACCACAGGGAGCAGTTCTACTCTGCCCTTTGGGATGCTATGAGTCAGAAGTGACTTAATGGCAGTGAATTTTGTTTTGGGGGAATAGAAATGCAAGTTTAAAAAAATCCATCATTGTCCCATGATCCTTTTCCCCTCCCCAATAAATGGTCCTGGTTCCAAAATCTGAAGTCTTTTTCTGGAGGCCCTTCCAATGGAGAGAAAGAAACGCATTGGCAGAGCGCCCCAGATCAGTGACTACATCACCCTTCTGAGGGTGCAGCCTCTAGCCTCTGCTACAAACCAGCAGGAGCACTCGATGTAAATCAGCAACCACATGGCCGTCTAGAAGCCATCCCGTAGCGCTGGTGGCACAGTGGTTAAGCGCTCAGCGGCTAACGGAACAGACATGGTTTCAAATCCTCCAGCTGCTCTGCAGGAGAAAAGAGCTGGAGGGCTGCTTCCAAGTACCGAGTAAGAAAACCTCACTGCCATCCAGTTGACTGATGGCATCGAATCAACTACAGGCCCCTGCTGGTGCGTGGTTAGGCATTGGGCTACTCACTGCGAGGGCAGCAGTTCACCAACAACCAACCGCTCCTGGGAAGAAAGTTAAGACTTTCTATTCCTGTAAAGATCTAGTTTCAGAAACCTGCAAGAACAGTTCTACCCTGTCACTGAGTCGGAATTGACTCTACAGCCGTGAATTGGTCTTTTCTTTCTTTCTTTGGTGAGGGGGTGCAGTGGGCTACCACTATACCTCATGGCCTTTCCTCTAAGCATGATTGTTACCCCTCCCAAATTCTTTTCAGTATCAATTGTCAATTTGATGAACTGCCAAATCTGATCTTATGAGAGAACTCGGTGATTTTGATTTTATGAAACCTACTTACAAGGCTTGAGTGATAGAAAGCTTGTTGAAGGAAAAATCCATCAAAACAAATTCCCACCCCCCAAAAAGATTCATGTTCAGATCAATGTTTGAATTTTTGGTTGGGACCCTTGCTTTGGTAGAAAAATTAAAAATTGGAACTCTCACAAAAAAAGCTATTTGGGGGTGGGGGGGTGGGGAG